TTAGATATGAATGTAACATTTATTTAGACTGTGCTATCCTTTGTGTTAGGCTAACTACTAAATTTTTTAGATTTCGAGTAATCTGCACCTAACCCTATTTTCTCCATAAGCCCTGTTATTTCTATGACGCGATTTTCTATAACACGATATTTTACAAGAACACAATTATCGCGTTATAGCAGAACTACCTGTAGTACCAAAACATGTTAAGCGGGAGGACACTAAGCGCGGACTTATTGTACTCATTTGATCTCCACATCCTGTGTGTGTGGCTGCAAACTTACTACTTCCTTTGCCATCCAGGGTTCACATTCATATTGTAATGTCAACTCAACTACTCCCATACATACATAATCAAAGCAATTTCGTCAATATACATTTTGCAATGCACCTATTACCCTCTTTCTGCTAGGTACTCTGCGATGCATAACTAATTTTTATATTTATTGATACTTACATTCCGATACTTAAAAAAGCCTCACACTTCTCCATTGTCTCCGTTTCATCCAAAACTCTTTTTCTCCACCCTTCTATTTGATTTTTCATCACATTTGTTCACATTCACTCATACTGTAGCTACCAAATTCATTTGCTTAAATTGTACTGCATTTGCAAATTTACTTCAGAATCACCCACCAAGTCCAGTTTATTCTGCAAACAGCAGCATGTTTACCCCAAAATTTTGTTGCATACAGTATTACAGTATACATACTATCTATCAACACCTGCTACCCCCATACATAAAAATATCAATAACAAATATGAGTTTTTCGAGCGAGTGTGTAATCTCAGAATAATTTCTAAGTAACTCCTTTCATCAGGGCTGGCACTGAACACTTCATTCTTGTAACCCACGATGTCAAAGCAAAGATGTTGGGAAGGGTAACAATAAGCACTTATGCCGATTTTGTTGTACCAGTGGGAAAACGGCAATGAAAGTTGGCAAGACGAAGGTATTGCTCTTTGGAAAAGACGAATGAATAATTTTAAAACCATGATTACAGTACTCCAAACCAGTGACTAGCCTAGGCACTCTAGGTTCCAGTGCATTGCCGTACTATCTGAATACAGTATTTTAAATCACCCGCAAACATTTTATTCTACATGAGGATATATTTCATGAAAGACCTATTGTGGAAGCAATGTTTGCCACCCCACTTGTAGATCTGTAAGCTTAGCATTCAATGACTATCCTCATTGAACCTAGAACTCATTAGCTCAATGTTAAAATATCTATCTATCTATCTATCTATCTATCTATCTATCTATCTATATCTATATCTATATATATATATATGGTCAATAATATAAATTTATATAACTTCAATGGAAGATAAACTATTTATTGCAGTTTACACTATCTAACAGATCTACTTATGATATTGCCCATTATTATGAAAAAAAAAAAAAAAAATGCCAAAAAAGTGTTTCCCCCACAAAATCGTAAATTTACCCAAGATATTATTACTTTATAACCTTTTAATTTTTTAATATGGATTCCCGGTGCTTTTTTTTTTCATTAAAAAAAGTAGTTAAAGCGTTAATGTAAGCATTTTCATTTTTAGTGACTTATGGCACTTATTGGGGAATACAGGTTGTACCTCTCTAGTCCGGCATTCTGTGGTCCGGAACGATTTTAGTTTGTCCAATAGGTAGATAGGCAGCTTTTTTTTTTTTTTTTTACTTATCTGAATTATTATTATTATTACAGGAGTATTAAATTTTTGCCCCTCAGGCCCCAATGTGGGTCAGTGACCTATGCCCGGGTGGGCTAATCCCCTTAAAAAAAAAGCCGCGGGAAATTAAGGTTTGTTTACATCCGGCAGTTCGGCTGCTCTCTCTCTCTCTCTCTGCTTGTCTATACAGAGTACAACATTTAACCCTTCAATATATATGAGCAGTAAATAAGTGTTGCTTTCATATTCTTATGTAGAGTAATGACGATATATTTTCACATGTGCGCACTTACATACGAGCAGTCTCACTTTTTTTTTTACCATTAATGGTTAGCTACTTATATTGTTCCATTTATTAACATTAAATAACATTACAGGTACTTCAAGCAACCATATTCATTTTTTACATTAATTTTACTACAGCTAAACTCAGGGTCTTATTTTCTTCAATTTTATATGTAGAACCAATCAGTCACTGGTTTCGTAAGCTTTAACATAAACAATGCCGGCAGCCGTCTCATCTCCTCTAATATTCCACGTATTATTAATAAATTGTATTGTTAATTTTGCACACACGTACATTAATTCAATAAAAACAAATTCAGAAATATTAATTAAAATATATATGAACAGTAAATAAGTGTTGCTTTCATATTCTTATGTAAAGTAATGACGATATGTTTTCACGTGTGCGCATGCGCACTTACATATGCGATCTCTCTTTTTCTTTACCATTATCGTTAGCTACTTCTATTGTTCCATTTATTAACATTAAATAACATTACTTAAAACAACCATATTAATTTTACTACAGCTACAACCAAGGTCTTATTTTCTTCAGTTTTATATTCAGATTTCAGATTTGCCCCCGAGGGGGCTAGTTTATTGGGCACCCCCTCACATCCTGTGCAAGGTGAAGCGCAGAAGCGTTTACAGCGCCCAACAGGGAAGTATGAAAAGTTCATACTTGCCTTTACGACTCGTACATTTAGGGCGTAAAAGCCTGAAGGGTCATAGGTTCTGTCAAGTTACATAAAGTGAGAGAATGATGAGTGTTCAGTTTTATATGTAGAACCAATCAGTCACTGGTTTTGTAATCAACGAAAACAATGTTGTGTCATTTCCTCGTGTGTTTTAATATTCTACGTATTATAAATGAATTTTATTGCTCATTTTGCACCATAAACATTAATTCAATAAAAAAGACATTCAGTAATAAACAATAATGAATCTTTTGTACATAAGAGAAATGACGCTGTTTACACGATTATGCACGTCGTCTGCACGTTGGCGGGCCGTTCAAACCCGTCGAAATTCAAGTTTCCGCCGTCAAAATTTTCATTTATTTATTTTTTTGTGTGTTCCAATAAAATACGTTAAGAATTAAAAACTCGCGAAATTTGAGAAGCTACTATACGACATTTAACCCTTCAATATGTCTTCAAAGAGACCATGACGCAGAGAAAGTGGTGCTAGTGCTTCCAGGCATAAGCACAAGTCACTATCTATCCAGGAAAAGGGTGAATTTCCATGGTCCGGCACCGGTCAGGTCCCGAGGTTGCCGGACTAGAGAGGTACAACCTGTACTGCCGAAATTAGCCGACACGGTGAAAGGGGAATTCATTTTCAAGAGTTGCTTCCTGAATGTCACTCCTCACTTCTAATACTTTTTTCATTTCATCTAACTTCAGTACCTTTGTATTCTCCCCCAACCCTCCCCTATAACATTCACCTTTGAATGACTAACTCTCCCTCATGACCCCATCTATAAAAATATTACCAGTATATGTAATGACATGAAGACATCCTCAACATCTTCCAACTGTTACTGGGAACAAGTTTCCCCTTTTCTTGTGAACTTTTCCTTCACTCTCCCTATAAAAACTATGATTCCATTCAATAATTTCTCATATGCTGTACCTATTACTCTCTCAACAATTTCTCATATACCTATTACACTCTCAATGCTGTACTTCCAATATTGCTGTTCTATCTACATTTTTTCCTTCCCCATAAACACCACAATTGTTTTCCTTTTCCACCCCCATTTCTTTCATCTTTAATGCAAACACTTGATCCATATATTCCATTCTTTTTCTAAACTCACTGCTTTTCACCCTAATATATTATTTCAGCTACAATTCCCCTCAGTTACAACAGCCACATATATTTTCAAGTGCTGTATACTCGGTTATTCCTTTAATTTCCAGTCTTATTCCTTTTATTTCTACAGTCTATCTCCTCCTCTCCCTGTATATAGGGGACAAATATCAGCTCTCTGCCATTCCTTTAGTATCTTTCCTTCTAATACACACCCTATCACTAATCCTTGTCCCATCCTGAACATTTCTTGGCCAATCTCATCTAGTCTTGGTGTTTCATCAGTTTTGAGCTTTCTATTTCTCTAAAACACTTTACTCTTTTGCTCTGGTAGCTACCATTTCATTTCATCCACAACATCCAAAACAAAATAATACATTATTGCTCTGATACAATGGGATTAAAAAATCTTCATCTCCCTTTTTTTTTTCTTTAGCGATATAGGAAACTCAGAAAATTAAATATTAAAATAGGATTGCAGTATTGTAGCTAAATTTACAAATAGAAGTTATCATTACGGAAACCCTGCATTCTGCACTGAGATATTTAATGAGAGAACCTATGAAATAAACCATCACTTTCAACATTGGACTTTACCTTTATTCTACTCTGAAGTGAGATATTGAAGTAAAGAGCATCATAATTAAACTTTGTCAGAAACAGTTGTAATGTCCACTTGTTTGTTCTATTAAATCCATGGGTAGAAGAGGCCTAGTTTTTCTTTGAAGTAATTTCAGTCGGCCCTTTACCACACAAACACAGCGTGAAAAAGAATACAATTACTTCCGCAATATAACCGTAAAAGATGTCCATTTATTGTTAGGAGTACCATTAATCCCAAGAATATAGACAGCTTGACACTTCAGTGCCAGTTATAATCATGATTAATGGGGATAGTTTTGAGCAGATAAAGGCAGTGAAAGATGCATAATGTTGAGAAGTAAATGTATATCTGGAATATAACAAGGAAAAAATCAACTTAAAAAGAGACCAAATTAAAGTTGCATTTTATCCACAGCTATTAACAGGAAACAGGGATTACAGAACAAGGGTATGAAATTCACAGATTACATAAAAAAGCAGTCGTGTAATACCGAACCTCCAATGTGACTAATGCTCCTTCAGAAGTCCCGGGTGGAAACAGCGGTTTCCTGAATGCAACAAATCTTCATCAGTTGGAAAAAAACTGATCAACTACACCGAAGTAATCAAAATGAAACTGACCTTGGAAGCTTTGATCTGGGCTTCTATCTTCTCAGCCTCCGCGTGCATGCCTTGTGACCGGTAGTACTCTATCCACTGTTGAGAGTAATCTTGAGCACCAGTGCCTGCTCCCACGCCACCTCCTGGGTTTGCCGCCTGCACACCTCCACCCTAGAGCATCAATAAAACAAAAAAATTAATGAGTGCCCCCTCCCGATTTTTTTGTTTGT